CCCCCCCCCCCCCATTTTCTGAGAGGGGGTAAAATCTGCCTTACAAATGCCTGAGTTTTAAGCACTTTATGTATAACTTGTGCTTAAAACCTTTAGCCAAAAGCAAGTTTTGCATTTTGTTCTGAAGGGAGGGAGGGAGGCTCTTGGTGATTCTGCTTAGTTTGTAGACAGAGCCAGCACTGAGGAACAGTTGCCAAGAAAACTACTCATGGGGCTCCCTCTTCCATTGTTCCAGTAGAACATGACTGGAGCTGTGCCTGGAGGCAAGGCTGTTCTTTGGGGAACTTGGGCCAGTGCTATAAAGGGAATTGAGTGAGAACTAAATTACTGAATCTTTGTTCCATGAGCCACAACAGAATGATGCACAGGGATGTTGAGCTGCTACTAACTGAGTAGGTGCCTGAGTTGCTGAGTAGGTGACTACTGAATTCTCAATTAACTAGAGCTTTACCAGGACTGAGAGGTTCATTCCTCCATAAGAAAGTATAGAAATCTCATGTTCAGGATTACTGTGGCCCAATTAGCTTGCTAGAATATGGAAACTTTTTCACCATTAGTTAGCCCCACAATACTTCTAGTACCCATAGCATTGTGGGTACTTGGAAGTAGCATAGTTTAGAATCACTCCCTATGCCCAAAGCCATGAATTATCTTAATAGCTGGAGAGTTGGCTCCTTCAGTGGTGAGTGAGTTTTGCAGGTATGATGAGTTATGTGCAGTGCTTCCCTCCTTGCCAGTATGACCTCTGTGTTGTTCAATGTTGGTTTCAGGCAACTAGATTTCATAGACATTAGGGCTGGAAGGGACCTTGTGAGATCATTGGGTCCAGCCCCCTGCCCCAGGGGCAGGAAGTCAGCTGGGATCGGACCAGGTATTCTGTGTGTCTAGCTTTTAACTCTCATCTCCAGATGTACTACGTTAATAAAACGCATCTCTGTTGCTCTTATTAATTTAATACAGCAACCTTGCACTACAAGAAAGGATTTCTAGCTCAGAATTTAGTAGCTTTTCCGAGTAGATTTTCACTTTAACCCTTTGAATTTTAAAAACAAGATTGGGGTAGATGGGAATTTTGAAGATTCTTATATCTCCTGTATGACGTTTTAAGACTTAGCTGTTCTGCAAAACTCTCCTGTGTAAAATGCTGTTTTAATATTTTGTCTTTTTGTTACTGTGTCCTGATGTCTGAGTTGGATTTTTGCACTTCCTGTTAAGTTACTAGAGAAGGAAAATCCTGTAAGATTATCCTCTCAGCTGGTGCAGGTATCAATTTAAAAGCCTAGGCTGAGGGATGGATTCTGTACTAACCCTTTGTTTTTTCATTCTCAGTCTTAAACTCACTATGCTTGGCTTTATCCCAAGACTAAACATTTTTAAAGACTGAGGTGAGCCTTGTGTTGTTTGAGGATGAATTGTTTCTAATCCAGACCCTGGGTTTTATGGAATCCCATACTTCTCCAGAAGTATGGGTTTCATTTAAAGTTAACTTTTAATCCTTTGGCAGTAGAGTTAACCCTGAAAAACATGATCCCTTTGAAGCAGAGCAGACCAGCTGAACCAGTGAAGACTATGTTTCTTCCTTTGTCACTAGCAAATTGTTAGTATTTTATCCTGGAATCTTAAAGAGTTTCTCAGATATTTATTGCTGGCCATTCCTCCTGGGGTACCAAAACTCCCAGCTTTTCCCTATCCAGCAGTGAAATTCTCTAGTTTCTTCCCTTCCAATTTCCTTTCTGGTTCAGTATCCAACTGTAGTCTACTGGAAAGTCAGAATGTGCAGTTCTATTCAGAAAAGGACAGTGTAAATGCCTCTGTGGGTTCCCTAATGACCTCTCTGACTCCAGAACAATTTTTTTTCAGTGAAAATACTTTCTTCCTGCCTGTTCTTCAGAGTCATCTGGGCTTGGAGAGCCCACATAGGTTCATTCTTCATCACCAGGAATAAAGAGTCTGCAACTGGAATTTAGTTAGCAATTCCAGTGATGCGGAGCCAGAACAGAATCTGTTTCCCTGCCTGGGTGCCATGGGATGACTCAGCTTTTGACCCTCTTAATCACCTGCCTGGATTGGTACCAATTAAAAGGTTCAGGTTTGTTCAGATGCTACTCTTACATAATCACTTTTCAGAGTAGAACAACATTGTACACTGCTTTTGATGGCTTCCCCTGTTACTGAGTTCCAGCTGCAAGTTTGCTGAGGTAGGTTTTCTATATTCTCATCTATTCCAATGATGCACATATTTAGGACACTTAAAAATAACTGAACCCTCAAGAAGCTTATTTCCAGCTCTAGTGTTGCTGATACTGTTGTCATCTTGGGTTCTTCTTCATGCCTATAAACTGAATGGTCTTGGGTTCAAGTGTGGTGGAGATGATGCAGGTTCTGAAGGTCCTCCTTGTGCTTCTTCTGAAGGTAATTAATTAAACTCATTGCTCCTGTGGGTAAATCCTACAGCCTGAGAAGCTTGTGAAATACTGAACCAAAGCACAAGAGCTACTTCCATTCTATACATCCATTCCATGGGTGATAGGAGCAGGCTGAACCCCAGTTGGTGATATTGTCTGTGGGCTACTACTCAGAAACATGCATCACTCTAGAAGTGTGAAAGATGCATGTGAAAATTGAGACAGAAAGGGTAGAAGCAAAGGGAATAAGAAGTGCTCCTGCTATGAGTAATATGTTCTTCCAGTTGCTGCCAAAAATGCATCCACGTGTTGGATTTGGCTGGGACCAGGAGCTTGTTCTGGTCTTCAGAAGATTATGGGAGTAGAGTGGGTCATCTCCATTGACTGGACTTTCCAGTCAATGTGACTGCTCATGTTTGCTTTAACCATTCCAATGTTATTCTTTGCTTGGTTAGAATTTCGTGTAGTACAAATTTTGTGATTCTTGTCCTTCTTTCCTTGCCAGGCAAAGTGGAGACATCAAGTTTTTGACAAAAGGAGACAACAATGCTGTTGATGACAGAGGACTGTACAAACAAGGGCAACATTGGTTAGAGAAAAAAGATGTTGTTGGGAGAGCAAGAGGGTGAGTGAAGTCATCTATTAGAGGCAAATGTGGACTGTTTCAGTTTCAGTCTATGATTATATTTTCCCTGTTGAGTTTTCTGGGACTTTAATAGAAATAGTATTTCAGGATGTTCTGTGGGAATCTTTATAACAAAGGCAGGTCACTTCTTAGCTTGGCTTGTCTGAAGAGCTTGCATTTTAAGGTCTCCTGGTATAGGGGAATGAGCTTTCCACAAGATCATACAGAGTCTGCTTAAAGTTGATCTGCCATGGGTTTGTACTCTTCCACTGCTTTACAAAGCATAATGAAGGGTGGACAAGGTTTTTTTACATTAGAAACTCAGGTCTTGCCTGCCTGGAAAGGCTCCAGTGACTTAAGAAATAGTGAAATTATGGCACAAGGGCAAAGTCATTGGAAGTGCAGAAGTTGAGAAGCAAAGGGATTTTTCATTGGGATGCTTAGAACAGCACCTTTTTAACTCTATTGCTTAATGAACATTTAATTAAAGATCACAGAAAAGTAGGAGTGGAAGGGACCTCAGGAGGTTATCTAGTTCAGTGGTTCTCAATCAGGGTGCCACAAGACCCCCTCAGGGATTTTGTGATGTGGATGGTGCCTCTTGTACAGGGCTGCAGCATGCACACATGCTTCTCCTGCATTAGAATTGTCCAATAATCCTAAAGCAGTTATGAGAATTGGTGCAGGATGCAGCTCTTCCCAGTCTGCCACCCACCGTGCTTCTCCTGGAAACAGAGGCATGTGAGACAGTTCCACCTGTCCTGTGTGCTGATGTTTCTGGGAGACACTGTGTAGGGTCAGACTGGGTAGGGCTGCAGCACAAGCCAGCTTTCCTGGCTGCTTTAGGGTTATCAGAGAATCCTAATGTAGGAGGAGGTCATGCATGTGCCACAGCTTTTCCTGGTCTGGCTGTGGGCCCAGGTGTGTGGGGCAGTTCTACTGCTGACTGGTACCTAGATGAAAACCACTGAGGTAAGCTGAGCACAACAGTGGTTCTGAACCAGGGATACTGCTACATTCAGAAGTTGTGGAGGGTTGCCCTGACTGAAAAGATTGAGAACCAGTAGTTTAATTTAACCCCTTGCTCAAAGTAGGATTGTCTGCATCTAAAGCAAGCCAGGCAAATACTTTGTCTAACCTGCACTTGCTCTCTGAAGATGGAGATTCTTCAGCCTCTCTACACAATTTATGCCCATGTTTAACCACCCAAGATGTCCTTCCTTCCAAAATTCAGAAATTTTTATTGTGCTGTATACCTTAATTGAAGGTATTGAGTCCCACAAAGATCATGGCAAAACTAGGGAATAGTGAACTCTGCACTCTCAGTAATGACCACAGAAAGCACTTTTTAGTGCACCCTAGGGAATCAAGTAGAGGCACAAGCTTGAAAGGAAAAAATCTCAGGGAGGTGACCTGTAAAGTAGTAGCACTTGACTGAAAATCGTCCAAAAGACAGCTTGTCTTTTGACTGGCTATACAGGCATTGTTGAAGATCAGATTAAATGTTTTAGTACTGGGGACTTGGGCACAATGACCTGATCTGAAAATGGCAAGCTCTGTAACTCAAATCCGGTCATGTCACTTTGGTGGTTCAGCTTGTCAGGTCTATATGATGGAGTAATACTTCCTATCTCCTAGTGTTTATAGTGTCTTCGTCAGAAACATAAGTGCTGAATTTGCCCTGAATATACTGTTTGCTGCCTGGCAGACTGGAAGCTAGCATTAGTACAAATAAGACCCTTGCCTTGTTTGTACTAATATTGTAAAGACAATTTCTAATTATCAAGCTATTCAAGGACCCTTTTATATTCTGGGCTCTGATTTCCCTGCACCTGCAACCTGGAGATGACCTGAGCATGCCTTTTGTTTTATAAAGCATCTAGTCAATTTGGATGTTTCCCACTGAACTGCTTTACGATTACACACAGTAATCTTCAGGCCTGTACATTGTAGAGTGAACTCAGCTGGGAAGTGAGGTTGAAAAGTCAATTTTGCAGGCAAAACCAAACATGCAAAGGTTGCCTCTGCTTCTGCTGTGAAATCTAAGTGGAATCCAGATGTCCTGAGATTTCATAGCAGTGCTTTCCTTTATAGCTGAAACTCATTCTTTCTTGCAAAAAGTGTGCTAATTGTCACTTGCCCTCACAAACCTGTTTGTTTCAGGTAGAACTAATTTGCTGGGCACCACACCAATGTTTTGTTTTGAACTGTTTCTTCTAGGAACTGTATTATCCAGGAACATATGTACATAGCTATGTAAGTGATAAGCAAGGAAGTGACAGCTTACAGATAACATTATTTGGTTGTATCTGTCCTGCTGACATGAGTTTTGACTAATCTGAATGGATGGACAAAATAGAAATAGTGGCAAAGTACTGTGCTTGATGGGGACTAGTTTCCAATTTGGTTCTAAAACACCTTCTAAAGCAGTGATTCTCTTCAACACCCTGGTGTGCCTGCAGATCCTTTCAAGGATGCAGTGGCATGCCACACAATGTTCCCTGTCCTTCGACTCAAGGCATCCCTTGGAAAATACTAGCTCCTAGTTAGCACCGTTAAGTGGGCAAACATGGCTCACAACATAAACCCAAAGATTTCAGTTAGGAATCCCTAGTGTTAAAAACATTCTGACCTGGTGTGGTCTTTCTGAGTTCTTTGCAACAGAAAAACTGCTTTATTATTTTTCCATTGTTGAAAAAACAAGCGAAAACTAGGAGCTAGTATTTTCCAAGGGATGCGTTGAGTCTAAGGACAGGTGCCTTGAACGTAAAAAGGTTGAGAATCACTGTTTTAAAGTAAGGATTATGTATAAGTGGGCAGCTTCATGAAGGTCCAGGCTTCATATATAGCAACATTCAGAAAATCAAACCTGTTAAGGTACATATGGGATGGAGTTAAAAATTAAATGCATTAAAGTGTTTTCACTTTATGGTCAGTGGTTTGTCTGCCCTGGATTACTGGCCCATTTGTGCAGTAGATCTGAGATGCTTCCAATGCAGACATAAAGGTTGAGATTGGGAGGAGTTATCCCAGAGGAGCTATTGTGGGTTCATGATGAGACCATTAGGGGAAGTTGCAAAGTTGCACCTCGGATATTGTACCTTCATGCTTTCTGGATACAGGAGCATGGAGATATGTTGAATGAATTGCAAGACGGCAAACCTGGCACTGAAAAGCCTTGTAAAACACAGTACCTAATTAACCTGTGACATTTACTGCCCCGAGATGTCAGTGAGGTGGAAAGCTTGTAGGATTAAAAAAGATTTGTCCTGGTGCAGGTGTAAAGGACTCCATGTGAGTCCTTTGGGAATGAGGTGGGAGAAGGTAGGGCTGTGTGAAACAAATAGTGTTTCTATTCTGTTTCGGATTTGGCCATTTCAGAGGGACAGTGATTTGTTTCGGTGTTTTGGATCGCTGTTCTGTTTCGATTAGTCTGAATCTGTTTCAGAGTTTCAACGCTGTTTTGGTTATTTGGCCACAGGCTACAATAGGGAATTGCTAAAATGCCTATAACTTTGTAATTTCTTGCCCAATTCAGATGAAAATTGCAGGGACAGTAGCCCCTTCTGAGGGCATGAAGCCTGCCAAGTTTCAAGGAGATAGGTGCAGGGGTTTCTGTGACACTGCACCTTAAACTGTCCAAAGCAAAACTCGTATCACTTGCCAGCAGCAGCAGCCTGCTGTCATCCCGTGCACAGATCTGGGGGCCTGCACCACCTGGGAAAACTGCGGGGCTGTGCCAGACTCCTTCTGGGGGGTGCAGGCCCCCGGATCTGCACACGGGATGACAGCAGGCTGCTGTCCCTCCCCCAGAGCACTGGATTGGAAGGGACCTCAGGGACAGATTGCAGACACTGGCCAGCTACAGATGTCGGTATCGGAGCAGTCCCCCCCCCCCCCATTCCCCCTCCCCCCCCCTTGTTTTTGTTTTTCTGCCAGCCCCCCC